TGTATTATTGGTGTCCCTTGGTTGGTATGTAATGCTGGTTGGTCTAGGTTTCAGGTTCTCTCTCTCAGAATGTCTACTAAGGTCTCATCCCCTACCCTACTATAGGACAGAGAGGTCTAGCCCTGGAGAAGTGGGAGGGCCCTTATGTGGTCCCAGTTAGGGGTTGGGCATGGCACAATTTGTGGAAGCTCACCACAAAACTGAGGTCAGACCCAGGCACTCTCAGACAGTCTGCTGAGGTCTGGGCCCTTACTGTAGGTCAGACAGGTCTAGGCCTGGCAAAGCAGGAGAGACCTCATATGATCCTGATTAGGGTTTGGGCACTTTGGGATTTGGGGAAGCTCACCATGTCCTGGAGGCTGGATCCAGGCTAAGGTCTCAGCTCCTACCCTACTGTAGGGCAGAGAGATCTAGCCCTGGTAAAGTGCTCATTTTTCAATGTAGACATGGTTCACTGGCTCTGTTACCACAAATCATGTAAGAAAAGAAGCTTACAAAGGGTCCATGGACACACCTCATTTCTCTGTCCTTTTGTGTAGCAGGCAGGACCTGAGCACTCCCATTTCAGCAGGGGAGCTAAGGAACAGTAGAGAGCTGAGCTTTGCAACCTCCTTCAGCTGTGCCAGAATAGCAGAAATATGCTTAGGATGGTGTTTAGGAACACTGTTTCACTTAGGAACCCTTGTGAATTTGTACAGAAATTGAACTCTTAATTGACTTTGAGGCCACTGTTACCCATGTGGGCAAGGATTCCAGTGCAGAGCCTTTTAGCCTCATGGACTTTCAGCATAGGTACTGGTGAACAAACATACCTTCCCAGGAGTTGCCGAAGGTTGAATGCATAGCAGTCTGTATTCGGAATGACTTCCTTCAACATTTCCACACCATTCCTGCATCATCTTCTGACCATTTGGGCTGCCAAGAAGTCTGATAGTATCCTGACTTACTTCTCTTGTGACTTAGTTTACTTTTGAGATCTCTCTTTATATCCAGTAAATCTGACTAGTAATGCCTAAGGAAAAGTAAAGTAGAAAACTGCCCTTTTTATTCTCAATCTGATTATGATTTTAGACAGTTGATACTTTTTAGTTAAAATGTTGAAGTACATATTCGATAAGGAAGCCAGCATACCTAAGAGCTGTTACCCAGAGGTCCCCTGCCCCCAAAGGAGGCTTTGTGCTGAGCACATCTTCATGCCTCTCTGGTGCCCATCATACCATTTTTTAAAGTTCAAAAACTCAAAAGTTAATTTCAAGTGCCTAGAATTCCAAATACAGAAAACATGGCTGTCAATGTGTATACATAAATCCCTGCAGTAGGTGCCACCCTGCCCTAGCCTGTTTGAAATAGGCTATGATCTGTGAGCTAACCAAAGCCCAGAAAGGTGAGCAGACCCTTTGCTATGAGAATTTGGAAGCCTGTACCTGGAATAGTCTTTGTTACTGTGATGCCCATAGCCTTCTTTCTGATCCTGAAGGGGAGGAGGAGAGTACTTATCACAGTCAGCTCTTCCTGCCACTCTGCGTTTTTTGTCCAGCCCTCAGACCAGGCTTTTCCTGGCCTTGAGAGGGTGAAACAGATGCAGCCCTTTTCTCTGAGGCACTTATGTGATGCTCCCTTTAACATTATAATCTGTACATAGTGGTCAGTGACTCACCTTTGTCCAGCTTTTCAATGACTACCTATCTTCACTAGTGAATTTTTGTGAAATGAATCTCTTTTTAATGTTTACATAAAGATTTATAGATAAATTTAATACAAATTATAAGTTGAGTTAAGCAAGACTTTTCTCTTGTAAAACAACTTAAGTCACAAGGCTTTGACTTATATCTGCTTTGGGGGGATTTTGAGGGAAGGTGGTCTATATGTGGACCTGAAAGGCTCTACCACTCTTGTTTTCCTAACTCGGGTTTTCTCTCCTAGACTTCTGTCAGTGGCATCTTCCCTTGTGAGTCTGTGTTCCCACTTGTCACCTATCTTTCACTGTCGAAGTTAAATGCCACCACCTCTAGGGAGCCTCCAGTCTGCCCTACTGTATTAGTCAGGGTTCTCTAAAGAAACAGAACCGGTAGAATGAATATATATATATAATGAATATATATATCCACATATATATTTATTTATCAGCTTAGCTAACTCAGGAAACACTTCTTATGCTTGTTAGGTTATTATAAAGGCTGTTATAAAAGGAACAGATGAATAGCTAGGTGAATAGGCACACAGGGTAACATCTAGATGGGTTCCCAGTCAGTGCAGTTGTAGTCTACCAGGCTCCCAGCACAGTGATGCATTCACAGCCCAGACACTCATAAATTTTCTGGTTCAAATGTGTTTATAACTGCATAGTTGCATACATCTGTAATCTCAGCACTCAGGAGCCTAAAGAAGGAGGACTATGAGTTCAAGGGAAGTCTGAATTACATAGTGAGTTCAAGGTCAGCCTAGGCTACATAGGAAGAGATCATCTGCATTGTTGTTGCTCTTCTTGGGGGTTTTGTTTGTTTTTGTTTTTGTCTTTTTGAGACAGGACCTCCCTGTAGCCCCAGGTGGCCTGGAACTCGCCATGGAGACTAGGCTAGCATTGATCTCACAGAGATTCACTTACCTCTGCCTCCCGAGTGCTGGGATTAAATGTGTGTGACGCCATGCCCAGTTTGCCTGTTTCTATCTTTTTAATCTCTGATGACATTTCACATTTCTCCAGCATTGAGTTTTATTTTTCTCCCTATCAGCAGATAATTTTTTTGAAATCCAGACCTCCTTTTACCCTCCTGATCACTCTATACCTCCAGAATAGTGTTCTAACAGTAGCAGATGGTTGGTTCTTTCTAAGATCATCCCAGAATAGACTTTGCTGTCCTTCAGTCTAAGGCTGCAGGAAAAGCCAAGGCCCTTCAGAGGTAAATGTCCTCACTGACTAGTGGCCTGAAGACAAGTGATTTTGGGGAGGAAGCATTCTGATGAGTAGGCCTTAGTCTTTGAAAGGATGGCTTATGTTGGGAATATTTTCATTCTTTCAATTTTCTAGTGGATGAATTTACTCGTTTTCATAAAGCATATTGTAAAATGGGAAGCCTTCTAAAAGTCCAGTGGTAGTTTTAGTTCCTTAGTTATCTGACTTTTGTCCTTTCAGGACAGGCATTGAGCTTCAGTTGAACATTTTTATTATGTATGAATAATAGAGAATGTATGTTGAGGTTTTGTAGATGTAATTTTGTTAAATGCACATCATGGTAGATTTAAAACTGAGGGATTTATTTTGTCATTCATAAAGTTGTAATACAGTCTGGAGAAACTATTTGTTAAAGATAGCATCTACTTAACCTCCTTATTTATTTCTTGTAGGAGGTTAGTTCCACAATAAATACATGGAGAAATAAGTAGATAGGGGAATTTATCTTGGAAATAAGATCCCTGTCATGGTTTTGAAATGCTAAATGCATGAAGACCCGTCAAAGAGATATATGGACATGATATTTTTTGCAGTGCATTTCAAAGTATTTAGTTATATATGACATTCTCTAGTACAAGTTAGCAATAATAAAATGATACAGTGATTTCAAAGCCTGTCTGTGCTAATGGGCATAGATGCAGTGTTTCCTCACATTCATTACAGAGAGAAGTAAATTGGCAGTTTACTGTTAATGAAGCACTTCAGATATTCTAGAACATTTCTTAAATATTTGGCATTTTTTGCTTCTATTACATTTAAGAAGTAACTATAAATCTATGTAATAAAAGGGAGATTTTTATAAAGTATGATTTATAACTGGATTCATAGAGGTTTGTTGAACTGATTAATTTTTTTAAAGTAATCCACATTTAGCCAAAAATCAGGTTATTAGGAACTTAAGATTCTTTTTCTGTCTGAACAAAGCTGTAAGAATTTGTAAAATCATGATTAAAGACTTTACGTGAAAATATATACCTCCCATAGCTCCATGTTGATGGTTTAAACCAGTTATTAAGTTCTTATGTTTTTAATTGGATTAACTATCTAAAAGTATAGTCCGACTTACAGTGAACCCAAGCTGCCTTGTTTGATCTTCACTGAAATAATGCTTACCAAAGTATTAAAATTGTACAATATTAATTATTAGTTTAAATTTTTGATTGTTCATTATTCTGAATTAATTAGCTCAACACTATTTTTCACAGAGATTGCTTAAAACTCAATTGCATTAGAAACAAAAAGCAAATTTTATTGGTCATTTCATGAATACAGGTGACAAGGAACATGATCAGCAGAGGATGCACTGTAAACATGAGTGTGCTTCATAGTTCCTATATTACGCAGGACACTGAAAGATTTTAAATTGAAGTGGGCATTGAAATGCTTTATTGAAGAAGGATTGATTTGTTATTTTCAGTATTTTATTTTCATATAGGAGATACCTGTGGTTTCTGTTTTTCCAAAGTCTCATTTTATTAAAATACATTGTTATAACTTGTTTTATTCTTAAAGGAACTTTTTCATATACCCACGTGCTAACAACCTAGAGGGATTGCTTAATTAGGAACAACTTTCGGGGCCCCCTCTTCTCTCCAGGACCATGGTGCTGCAGGGCTGCTGGGCGTCTCTCAGGAGCAGTGCAGTTTCAGCAGTCAGACGCTGTGGCAGACAGCAGGGCTTGTCTGAGTGGTTGAGTATGGATAGCATTTCATTTAGCCTTTGCTCTGACAGCCCATGCCCTGGATAAGTGGCGTAGGCCTGTACAGGTGAAATCTATTCTCACTTTTGCCTCAGGGGTGACTGGACTGTAACAGAATTTTTCAAACCCGTTGGGCCCAACCGCAAAGCAGAGAATAAATGGCTGAAGTGCCAGGCCTCGACAGAAAAATCAATGCCTGGTTATACAGACATGACAGACCCGGCCTGCAGCTCTCCTTGAAGACGCTGCGTGTGCACCACACTTCAGGGTTACCACATGCTCTTGTCTGTTGCCCTAGATGTGAGTGTACAGATCAAATTTACATTTTTTTCTCTCTCCTTCTTGCAGGAAATTTACATGCCACTTATGTGATAGAAGTTTCACAGAGAAGTGGGCCTTGAACAACCACATGAAACTCCACACAGGAGAAAAGCCATTTAAGTGCACCTGGCCTACATGCCACTACTCATTCCTCACAGCCTCTGCGATGAAAGACCACTACAGGACGCATACAGGTGTGCCATGCCCCTCTAAACCGGGGACTAAGCACGGGGTTAGGGCTGGGGATTCTAGGAATGTGTACATTGATTTTCTTGATAGCATCCAGTGGAAATCATGACCTTTTTGTAAAGTTTAAGATTTTGGTATTGTTTATGAAAACATACTCCATTTTTCCCTCTTTAGTGATCAGAGTAGCTTTAATGTGACATTTTGGTTTATGTTGTATATGTGTGCATATGTTTAAATAGTATACGCTTAGATTTGGCAGCTTGTTTCTGGTGTGTATATGTATGTATTCATACATTGCTTCATAGAAAGACTGGCATTATGGCTCAGCACCGAAGAGCACTTGCTGTCTTGCAGAGGACTGGAGTTCAGTTCCCAGTACCCACATCAAGCGCGTCAAGCCACCTGTAACACCAGGTCCATGGGGTCTGACACCCTCTTGTAGCCTGTGTGGGCATTGTACTCTTGTGCATATCCCCCCAAAATAAATATATTTTCTAAAAAGCATAGCTTCTTAGATTTGACCCTTATCATATTGGGATATTATGTTTTCAAAGATAGCTGGTCTTGTATTTAATTATGGATATAATCAAAGTATAGTAACATTTTTTAACTTATTCAATCTTAATTTTATGTACCATTAAAAATGTTAGCAATTTAATATCTCTCTTCAGGGAAGGAGAATGTCAGACAGAAGAGTTCTTAATAGAGACTAATCTAAATTGAGCTACTATGAATTTTTTTAAGAAAATTGTCTCTTAAAAAGCCCCCATTCACATAAAGTTTGCATGAAAACATTAAGAATGACCATTTGTAATATAATCAAGCAGTATTGAGAATCCACCTGCTGGGTGTGGTCATGAGGATGCTCGGTTGGTTCCTTCATAAGTATATACCCCGTGGACAAGTGTTTTGTTCATGCTTGTTTTTCAGAGTCTCACTACAATGGACCCAAGTCTTGGTAATCTTATATTTGAGTACTTTCCTCAAAGATGGTTCTATGAGCTATTTGATATTTTGGCCTTCTTTCTCTGTAGACCACTCAGAATATATTTTATTTCAGCTAAAAATAATAATTCTTATTAGTATTCGAAAATGTTCTGATTGCTGAGAATCCTATATTATTGTTAGAAATTACAGCTTAAAAGTTCTTCTGAAGCAGTTTGTGGGAAGCCCAGGCCTCCTTAGCTTCCTTGACAAGGGTGTTGACGATTTAAGGTCTCCAGCCTGCCCTGAGAGATCACTTATATCGAACAGCAGATGAAAAGCCAGTGCAGATGTAATTTATCGTCGGCGTTTCCTTCTAAAGAATAATTGTGGAGACTTGGCTGGATCAATAATATGGATTTTTGTTGTTAGGTCTTGTAGTCTGCACCATAATGAGAGATAGGGGACAGTGGCTGTTTTCTAATAGAAAATAAAGGATTGGTTTCCATGTCTTTCTACATTTGAATGTAAAATGGCATACTTGAAACTAATTCAAGTTGTTACTAACAGAAGTCTTCCATTAAGTCTCTGCTATTATAAAAATATGATGTGCTAAATGAACCCTCTCTTTGTTCAGTGAAATACTGCATTTAGTTTTTCTTTAATTTTTTTTCTCAAAAAAATATACTCTCTTACTCACTGTTCAACAGTTACCCCCTCCTCATTCCTCTCATCTCTCTCTCTCTCTCTCAAAAAAAGGGCAAGTAAAAATTGATTTTGAAAACAAATCAAGCCACCAAGGTAAATATGACATACAATACATTGGAGACTAACATCCTAGATAAAATTTTACACATCAAAAAATCAAGGTCACTAATGTATCTGGAATCAAATCACCTGGAAAATGAGTTTTTGCCTTTCTGTATGTATATACCTTAAAATAGGGAAGAGTTTAGACCTTAATATGCATGGCATGTATACATTTAGAGAATGTAAATTCTGTTAACTTTCATCTATGTTTATTAATACTTTAATTTTGTAAGAAAGATATAAGTCACAAAGTAGTTGTTTCATAAATGGATGAAGGGCAGCATGCTTCTCCAGAGTGAAGGAGTGCTTCTTCCTTGTTAGCACTCCTGACAACTATTGCTCCCACATTCCAGCTCTCACTCCATGACATGTATGTGTATATGCCTTAGCACATGTGTGTAATGGCACAAACCCACAGTTCTGAACCTTCAGTCCTCATGCCCCCGGTTCAAGTGTGAAAACAGATGGTTTGTGCCAGTACACACAAAACGGCCTGTAAAACTGTGGCCATACGTAGATTGTAGAGACAGTTTTGCCTCAACATAGAATGAAATGCTAACATTAAGGAGTAAATCCTCTTTAGTGTATAAAAAATTGTCTACTTCAGTGCTTTTAATTGATAATACAGCTAGTTAGAAAGATTTGTATTTCAAATTGACTAAACAGGTGAGTGATTATAATTAAACTTTATTTTTCACAGCCCATCTACTCTATTCTTCCTATATGGAAGTAGTGATACCAAGGAATGAAGGGTGACCCCAGTGTAAGAAAGAAGGGTTCGGGAAAGTGGTTCATTTTAGCTTTGCCCATTGAGTGATAATGAACACTGTAACATACCGTTTGGTAATGAATCTAGCCAGGTTTTGGTTAAGGGCTTCTTTGCTGATTTTCTTCTTTGGAAAACTAGAAATGCTCTTACTTGGAGGAGTGCTCTTTGATTGCCAGTACTATGCCACTTTCCTGTGTTTATTATTTATTCTAACCTTAAAACAACAATTATTGTTCCCCAATGCTTTGCCACTTAAAATTGCGATGTAACAGCAAACCTGGAATAAAGCAGACCGATTATAGGGAACCCTAGAAAGACTTATTGCATTGATGTCTAAATGACAGAGATGTGTAAACATAGTCACCTGTGTTTTACTTTATTTCTGGAAGTCATACTTTTGCTTAGTCTCTCCAGGGTTAGTATTTTTTAAATTCTGTTTTGTTCTTCATTGTGAGTCTCGAGGGATGAACTACCTAGCTGGCTAGCACTTACTGCCTAAATTTGCACAGTAAAAAGATATATTGCCTTTATAAACGAGAGGCCAAGAAGTTAGCATATGTAAAGTTGCTAAGAAAGCATGCATTTGTACACTTAGCAAGTACTACATCTGCCAGATGTGCCTTTGATTCTGCAGCTGTTTCCTGTCCAGAGCTATCACTGAAGATAAGTAATACGAGGTTTTTAGACATTCTTTAGGAATCCCTGGGCATCTTTTTTTTTTTTTTTTTTTAAATTCCATGAAAGTTTGAGGAACACAAATAGCATTGAGTTGTTCTTGGTACTGAGTAATGTGAATTTCATTTTCCTCCGGCTCCTCAGTATGTTCAAGGAAACCATTTAAATTCATATTATTAAGTATGGAGTGATTAAAGAAGATGCTGATAGAATCAGGTGAAACCAATTCAGTGTTCTTAGGTTGTTAGAAAATTAAATATATTTTATTCAAGCAGAATTACATATACTGTGTATTAACTATTCCAAGCAGTCTTTACTCAGCTCAGAAAGGCCAGATGTATGGGAATTGTAAAAAATCAGGATATGCATAAAAACTGTTCAAGTGCATAAAGCAGCCCCATCTGGAAGACATCTACCAGAAATGAAGTTGTACAAAACCATTCCATTGATAATAAAGCTAATTTTTATGGGTCTGACAAGTATGTAATTATGTTCAGTGGTGCTTTTCAGATTTTATCACAGTCAATAAACCGCAGTGGTAATTTCATTCCCATTTGACATATTTACATGGAAACATTTGATTGGAGGAATTAGTAACCCTGAAAGCCTTGATAGATATGTTTTAATGATCTGTGACCTCCACAGTCCCTCATCTGTTTATTGTTGCAACAGGCGAGAAGTCATTTCTTTGTGACCTCTGTGGCTTTGCTGGCGGGACCCGGCACGCCCTCACCAAGCACCGCAGGCAGCACACAGGTCAGTACTGAGTCTGTCCCTGACCTCTCTCTGTAGGGATGAGGCAAAGGTGTTAGATACCCAGCCACCACTGCTGGCCTCATGGGTTTCTTTTCCTTTATTCAAGATCTTATTTGATTGGGTCTTTCTGTAGGCTCTCATGTACTTCATAAGCACAGAGTTTATAAAAAAATAGATCATCTATTTTAATATACTCAAAACACACTCATCTATATACTTAAGGTACCAGGTAGCCCCATAAACTGCTTGTTAAGTGAGTGAAAAATAAATTTGTTCCCTAAGTCTGCCTGCAAGACTTTGCCTTACTGTTGGTACTTGGGTACTGGGGAGCCCATGTAGGAGAAGTCTCTCTCAGTCATTCTTCCCATCTTGCACTTCACTCCCCTTTCCCTTCTTGTTTGCCTTCCTTCTGTCTCTGCCCACCTTCCTATCTTCCTGTATTTATCTCTGGATCCATCTGTGAGGCCATATGATCAGAAGTCAGAGCTGTGGTAGTTATTGTTGAGAGTAAATAGCAACAAAGAACCAATGTGAGGGCTAATTGCATGCACTGAGGATAACCTGCCCCATGATATGCATTCTCCATGATTCAACAGAAGAGAATGTTCTTATAGATAATCGTTCTGACAATTCCACATGACAGTAAATGACTGTGCCCAGGACAGTACTGTCTCTTGTCAGTTTTACGTTGTAATTGCTAGAAGAGTCACATTTTTCCCGTCATCCAGTCTTTACTATTGAAGGTTATGGGGTAACCAAAGTATAACTAAATGTTGCATTTTTGTGTAACATGAAAATAGTTGAATTTAGCAGTTATACTGCATGTGGTATGAAATTAACAGGCCCCACCCCTTACTGAGGAGTTAGTGGCAGTTGGTAGTTTCTAGGGGAGAGAAAATCATTCTCTTCTGAGGATGTGGCCAGCAGTAGGATCCTCATGCTCCAGTGGATGGCCCTACACCCATTTGCATATGGGCTGCATTAACTGGATTTAGTGTGTTATTAAAAAAGAGATGAAGTTGGGAGCAAGACTTGTTGGGTTACATGGGGAGAGTTGGAGGGGGAGAACCTGATGTTATAATTGATCCTATGTTGTTGCATACATGTATGAAATTCTCAAGAATAAAGAAAAAATTTTAAATATGCTATGTACAACTTATAAAGTATCGTTATTATTCAGGTGCAGGCAGCTTCATTACTGGTGATAGTATTTACAGAATCTAAGAAAGTGTACACTAGTCATTGCATTTAGATCGTGAGTGTATTTAGGTCAAAATTACAGAGGGATAAGAGACACTGAGATGAAGGGAAAATTTTAATTTGTAACATGTTCTTGGAAACATAACTTTAAAAACAGAGTGCTAAATTTTTAAACATTTAAAATCCAACCTATGCCACCTATGCATACATTGTTTAATTCCAGTTTAAGGATTCAGTATATGATTGGCCTGGTGGATGGCAGCCGTCATTCTGTGACCAACATGGAGGAAGAAGTTGGAAATGTGTACAGAAACCATGCAGTCAAGAGGGTTTTATTCATACTATTTTCAGTTATTGATGCTAAAAGTGTTATGATTTACATGTCATTGTAGCTCTCATCACCCCATCCCATGTGTCCTGGGGACAGCAGATTTACCTTGTGCAACCCCTCCAGTGTTAGTAACCCCCTTCACCCTGCAGGAGTCAGTAAGACTGCGATCACAGACGTTCCAGGTGATGGATCGATCAGGAACCTGCATTGAGCCGGCACAACTTTATATTTTATGTCAGGTCCAGAGGCTCCTTATTACTTTGCTATTAACTTTATACCATATAGGACAATGTCTCACAGACAGAGGTATCTGTCTTTTTGGCATTTATCCGCCTCTGTGGCACAAATCAAACATGATTCTTTAATACCAAAGTCAGTTCTTAAAAGACTTGGCTTCCATAAAGCAGCTCAGTTTAGCTCAGTCTTAGGCACTTAGCTTTTATGTCAGATTTTAAATGTTTAAGCAACACATACCTTTTTCTCCAAGGCTAGACATGATGGTGCATTTGAAGTCTATATTTCTTTGATGGTGCATTTGAAGTCTGTATTTCTTTGATGTATCCATCTTTGACATGGTTTACCTTTTTGCCACAGTGTCCAGGCAAATTACAATCAGCTCAGAAAGGAATAGGTATCCAAAGTGTTCCAATGGCGTAAATAATTCCCAACTGCAATGCAGACTGTCTAGGGTGCTGACATGAAACATCTTCCATTCTGAGATTTACTTTTATCACCTGTCAGAGACCCTTGATTCAAGGGCACAGGTGCCAATCCTCATGTACAGTTGGAGAGACCTTGCCAGCTTAATAACCACCAGTCCACCCTAAAGAATGCAAAGTGTGATTTCCAGGAGATGTGGTTAGCCAGTCTGACAGATGGTTGACACACAAAAGGACAGGACACTATGGCAACAGGCTATTCCAATGTCCCTGTTTTGTCTTCCCTTTATTCTTCTATCAGTGGTACCCAATATACACAGGATTTCTTACTAGTTCTTTTGGCCAAGATTAATGCTTTTAAAGGACAAATGTGAAAACAGCACAGCCTAAACTGCTAAGTACTGCTACAAAAAGGAAAATTTATACGTACTTGTTCTGTCCCTTCTATCCCCATTTACATTTTGAGACAGGGGCTTCAGCTATGCTACCCAGACTGTTCTTGAGTTTGTAGGCTCCAGAACTCTACCTGCCGAGTAGCTGGGACTCCAGGGGTGCACCAGTGTACCTGGTATTGTCTGAGTTCTTTAAAGAGTACATGTGGAGGTCTCTGTTGACGTATACTATACGAAATTATTGAACGAATTCATATATTAACTGAGGTTTATTTATGCTTCTGGCTTTGGAATGATAGATGAGTGTGAAGCAATATTCCCCATCAGTCCTCTATCAAAGACTCCTTTGTAGCAAATGTACACCTCTTTATAAGGTATTTTCTCATTTCATACACTTATCAGATATTTAATAAATTGAAATTCTTGTTTAAAACTTTCAAGATTTTAAGATTTTCCTTGAGTCTTCACAGTCTACACATTTAGATTACCCCTTAACTCTGTATTGATACTAACAGACAGGAAACTGTATATTTCCAAGTGTATTTTTCCTGAAGAAATTACAAACACATGAAAATAAAATTAGGGAATTACATATTGGGTAATAGTTCTGAATATGTGAGAGATTAACAGAATACATGAGTTCCAAATTAATGTCATGTTACATATTTGAAAAAAAGTATATTTTGTATAATTGGCATGGAGTTCTTACTGTCAGTAGCACAGATGTGACTGATTCTTCTTTATTCATAGTATTTCTGTGCATAATATTTTGTATAATATTATTGATGTATCATATATTTCCCTGACAGCTTGTATATAATTCAAAATGTCATATCATTGCCTAGTTTAGTCTATGGTATGGTCAAGGTAAATATAAAATGTCAATCTCTAGTCCCTGGGCTGCACAACCTCTGAGCGTCCTGGTGCCAGCACCTTTCCTGGTCCCCAGGAGCCCTCTGGGCCTGGTTCTGCCCTCATCTCCCTTTGCTTCCTGGGCTGCAGAGCCTGCGGCATGCTGGTGCTAGCACCTTTCCTGGGTAAGTCCAGCAGCGCCCACCATGCCTTGACTCCCCCAGCCTCATTCACCCTCGGAGCTCCCCTCCTAGCGTGGGTACTTGCCCATTTCTTGTCTTGGAACTGCAGACTCCTGGGCTGATCTCTATGCCTAGAATCCTCACTGCTTCTTGATTCTTTGCATCCAGACCAACCCAGTTCCGCAGTTGTCCACAGGAGCTCTTTGGTGCTTCTTCCAGTCCCCACCTCCCTTTGCATCCCTGGGTGGCTCAGCCACCAGCTTCCTGAGACCAGCATCTTTCCAGGACCCTGCTCCCAGGCCAGGCCAGCACCCGAATTCCTGAGGGCAGCATCTTTCCTGGAGGGATCCAGACCTTAGGAGAAAGCCTGAGAGCATCTGCGCCTCATCTCATTTGGGCGTTTGTGGGAACTCCTGAAGACAAAAGCAATTAGGCCACTACAATTTAAAATCAAAAGAGAGAACCTGAAGCCTAGACCAACCAGCTTTTCATGCCAAACAAGCAAACCACAGAGTCACATAAAGTTTACAAAAAGGAGCAGATCTAATTTACACAAGGGAAAGCTTAAGTCTCACACAAGAATCAGAAACTATGAAAGAAATTCACGTCAGTATCACAGAGAAAAATATAATAACATGAAAAACCAAAATAATATATCCCCACGAAGTACCAATGTGCCTCTACAGGAGTACAATGAGAACCACCTAGAGATAACACAGGACATGGAATTCAAAAGAACAATTATAAACATGATAAAAGAATTCAGTGAATTTAAAGAACACCAAAACAAAGAAATCAAAGAACTGAAGGATGATAGGGATATGCTTCTGAATGAATTAAGAAAAGAGAAATATTGGAGACTACTCGGGCTGAAATGTAGAAGGAAGTGAAACACTCAGGAAGCCAATTAGAAATGAGAGGAGAAAGCCTCACCAATAGGATGAATGAAATGGAAAACAATATCATGACTAGAAGATAAAATGGACGAATTAGATTACTCAAGCAAAGATTATGAAAAATTTAAGAAAACACAAGAATGGAATATGCAAAAATTATGTGACACCATAAAAAAAAAATTACAAAACATAGGCATACAGGAAGGAGAAGAATCTCAAGATAATGGTATGGATCAGATCTTCAACAGGGTTGTAGAATAAAATTTTGCAAAATTAAAGAAAGACATGCCCATACAAATACAAGAAGCATACAGAACACCAGATAGACAGGACCAGAAAAGGAACTCCCCATGGCACATCATAGTAAAAACACTAAACGTACAGAACTAAGAAACAATACTGAAAGCTGCAAAAGAAAAACAAGTCACATATAAAAGAAAACCCATCAGGATTACAGCTGACGTTTCAGTGCAAACTATGAAAGCCAG